TCTGTTTATAAAACTCCAATTTGTTGTGTTTTTTGTATCATAAGGGATACTATGTCAAAGAAGTAAATAATTTTAAAATCATAAAAATGTGGGGAACACCTCGTAATAAAGCAAAAATGTCTGCTGCTGAAAGCTAACACAGTAAAAGAAAACTTGAATTCCAGAAGGTAAGTTCTCTGTGCCCTCCATTAGAAAAAACCATTTATCCAATTACAAGATTTCCCCAATCCTGCATGAAGCCAAAATATAAACTAATAATATTTATAAACAAAACTTAATGTAATACATGAAAAAACACACAAAAACAAAAAAATAAAGAGGCTGTAGCCACATCTCATTTGGAGTTTCTCAACAGGAGAACAAGTTACTTATGTTTTCTGCCAACAAAACTGGCCAAGTTGCTTTAGAACTCCCAGTGATTTAAAAAAAAAAAGAAGATAGAAAAATTTGACAGTTAAACTCCTTTTGGAGAAACTTAAAATAATTTTCTTCGAATAAAGGCTTAGAATTCACTTTTCCCAAATACATAGATCCAAAAGGTAGGTTTTTCCTGTAGTTTTCTAATCATAAAACTCAACAAATAAATAATTTTAAAGCAGAAAAAAATGTGGGGAACAGCTCATATCAAAGTGAAAGCCTGTTGTTGGAAGCCAAAACAACAAACAAACCCTAGAATTCCAAAAGGAAATATGCTTGTTCCATGATTAACAAAAGACCATTAATGTGATTACCAGAATTCCATAATCTGAGATGAAGTCAAAATGTAAAATAATTAAATTTTTAAAAGAATATGACAGGAAATCAATCGAAAAACTAACAACAACAACAAACACAGAGGATGTTTCCACATCTACTATGAAGCTTTGCAACAAGAGAACTGGATTTTTCTGGTTTGTGCTACCCAAAACTGGCCAATTTGCTTTAGGATTCCCATTGAATTTAAAAAGAAAACCGCAGTTAAACTGGTTTTGGAGAAATTAAAAACATCCTCTTCTAAAAAATGGATGAAATGTTGCTGTTCCAGACACATAAAGTCCTAAGTGTAAGTGTTCACTATAGATTTCTTTTATTTATTTATTTATTTATTTTTTTAGACGGGCAGAGTTAGACAGTGAGAGAGAGAGAGAAAGGTCTTCCTTCCTTTGGTTCACCCCCCAAATGGCTGCTGTGGCCAGCACACTGTGCCGATCCGAAGCCAGGAGCCAGATGCTTCCTCCTGGTCTCCCATGGGGTGCAGGGCCCAAGGACTTGGGCCATCCTCCACTGCACTCCCGGGCCACAGCAGAGAGCTGGCCTGGAAGAGGGGCAACCGGCCCACTATAGATTTCTAATTGTAAAACTGCAGTTTGTTTCATTTTTTCGTATCCTAAGTGATTCCATGTCGAATGCTGTTTTTTTTTTTTTAATGAAAAAAGAATTAAACTACTGGAAAAAAAAAAAAACAAATAAATAATTTTACAGCCAGAGAAAATATGGGGAGCAGCTCATAAACAAAGCAAAAGCCAGTTGTTGGAAGCCAAAACAATCACGGAACCCTAGAATTCCAAAAAGGATTATACTTGCTTGTGATTAGCAAAATTAACGCAACTACCAGAATTCCATAATCTGGGATGAAGTCAAATGTAAAATAATTCAATTGTTAAAACAAAGTGACAGGAAATCAATTGAATAAACTCACAAAAACAAAATAACAACAACAAAAACAAACACAGAGGATGTTTGCAGATGTACTATGAAGCTTTGCAACAAGAGAACTGGATTTTTCTGGTTTGTGCCACCCAAAATCGGTCAATTTGCTTTAGAGTTCCCATTGATGTTAAAAAGAAAACTGCAGTTAAACTCTTTTGGGAGAAATTTTAAAACATTATCTTCTAAAAACAGATGAAATTTCACTATTCCCAAACAAATAAATCATAAATCTTCACTATAATTTCTATATATTTGTTTGTTTTATTTATTCATATCCTAAGAGATACCATGTTATGTCTTGTTTTTTTAAAAGAAAAAGGAACTAAACTACTGGAAAAACAAATAAATAAATTTAAAGCCAGAAATAATGTGGGGAACAGCTCATAAGCAAAGCAAAAGCTGGTTGTTGAAGCCAAAACAATAAGGAAACACTAAAATTCCAAAAGGAAATATGCCTGATCCGTGATTAACAAAAGACCATTAATCCAATTTCCAGAATTCCGATATCTGACATTAAGCCAAAATGTAACATAATACAACTCTTGAAACAAAATGACATGAAAACAATGAAAAACACTCACAAAAACAAGAACAAAAAAAAAAAGACAACAACAATGACATATTCATCTCTGTTCTCATAGTCATCAGTCTCTTTTCTTGACAGTAATTGTATCTATTCTGATTCATTTCTTTGTTTGCATTATGACATTTATTTAGTCAGGAAAAATTAAGCAAGGACAATAACTCAATGTGCCTATATAGGCATTGTCTGGTTTTATTCTTAAATCACATGATTGTCTGTATTATTCTTTTTTCAGTAAAATTTCAAAATTTCTTTCACAGATGCTGCTATTAATATGATTTATCTATCACCACATCCATGCAAATATCCTCTACTCAACCCTCTCTGCTCTCTTTGTTTTCTGCTTCCTACGTGCTTGGTTTCATGTTTTCCGTAGAGTTCACCTTGTCCTTTTAGTTAGAGTCTGATTTTTTTCTTAAGCAATGTTACCTCTGAGTTAGAGCCCACCGAATTCTGCATAATGACTTATTTTCCCCAATATTCCTGAAATTCTCAAGAAGAAAAGATCACGACTAATGAAATCCAATACTTATGAAAGAGAATTTCTTGCTACTTTAACTACCACCTGCACATCTGGTGTGTTTTTCTGGAGATCTTCTGTACTGTTTGTTTAACTCACAGCCCAAGCACTTCCCATAGAGGATGTGTCATCTTCAACTCGTTGAACAGTTCCATAGCACAAAGCTGGCAAGGAGCATTTGTTTTAAAAGCTGACGTAGCACAAGCTTTGTGCGGTGATAGTATACAATTGTGAGGGGTTTTTGTAATATCGGGATGTATGTATTTGAAGAGAAAAAAAATTACAGACTTGTTTTAGGAATGCCTGCGACACAAAATTACATTTTGCAAAGCATTCCAAGAAGTTTGAGGCTTAACAGATTGGAAACCAAATATCATTGATTCAGAATGTGTTCTGAACCCTTGTTCTTTTTTTTTATTATTATTATTTTTGACAGGCAAAGTGGACAGTGAGAGAGAGACAGAGAGAAAGCTCTTCCTTTGCCGTTGGTTCACCCTCCAATGGCCGCTGCAGCTGGCGCGCTGTGGCCAGCACACTGCGCTGATCCGATGGCAGGAGCCAGGTGCTTCTCCTGGTCTCCCATGGGGTGCAGGGCCCAAGCACCTGGGCCATCCTCCACTGCACTCCCGGGCCACAGCAGAGAGCTGGCCTGGAAGAGGGGCAACCGGGACAGAATCCGGCGCCCCGACCGGGACTAGAACCCGGGGTGCCAGCACCACAAGGTGGAGGATTAGCCTAGTGAGCCGTGGTGCCGGCCCTGAACCCCTGTTCTAAATACAAGGGCTTTAAAAAATGTAGCCAAATGAAATTTAAAGACAAGATTATTTTGGTGAGAGAAAATTTTGAAATCCATACAGAGATTTTTTTATTCATCATTCATATTTTTTATTCATTCATGCATTTTCCATTAACTTTTCAAAGACTCTGTGAGGGTGCATGGAGAGAGAACATTATTTTTCAGTTGACTAGGCTACTGCTGTGAGGTGAATGGAAGGTGGGAGTGTCTGGGGTGTGGGAGTTTAGGGGGGTGGAGGTGAGGGAGGTGAGCATGGTGGGGCTTGTGGAGGGGGAGGGAGTAGAGGGTGGAAGGGAGAGGCTCAAACCTGCTCGGTTGCTCCTGCACAGGAAGGAGGGTCCATGGATCTGTGACACAGCAGGAATGTCCTGGTCATTAGTGATGTGCATTGAGGCAGAGCTGAGTGTGTCCATACCCAATGTCCACCTGCATTGCCAGTGGAGAACAAGACTCCACCCCCAAGGGCCAAGGTTCCTGACATCACAGTGTATGGGATTGGCCAGGTGTGGACTCAGGCAGCTGCAGTGGGGGCTGGGCAGGAATTGACTTCATAATGCCCAACTGTCATGAAATACAAATTCATGCCATCCCTGCTGGACTGCCATTGGTCCCTTTCTTGCTCTGACTTCTTCAGGAGCCCTATGGTGATAGAATTCCCCATGCCCGGCCCAGGTTTTTGTCTGCTTGACCATGAAGCTATTTTAGTGACCTGTGTGACGTGGACCCATCTTTCTAGCACTTGTGCTTGTTAGTGTTCTTTTTGTTTCTTGTTCTACTTTGTTTAATTTTTCCCCATTTTGTTTTAGTTTGTTTTTTTCCATCTATTTATTTTTTGGCCCATTTTGTCTTTTTTGCAGGTTTTTTCATTTTTGGCTTCCTGCATCTTTAGCTAGACAGTGCTGCTAGATTTCTTAGTGTTAGTGTAGTTATTTAGTGTTTGTTTTTTTGGAGTTTTTCTGGTTTTTGTTTTCTGTTTTGGTTAGATAGGACTCAGTCTTGCCACTGTGTGTCATTAGTGCAGTTAGTGTAGCTAGTGTGGTACCTTAGTCAGCTCAGCAGGTAGAGTCCCCTGGTTGTCCCTGCATTTTCTTAGGTATCGTAGTTAGGGTAGCTCCTTAGTGTTTATGGACAGCAATTTATACAGAGTAGATCAGACAGTGTAGTTAGGGACACCAGCATGGGAGACCTTGAGGACCTGGATGTCGACACCAGCACTCAGCTCGATCTCCGGCTGCTGTCAGTCCTGGGCAGGGGCAGCTCTGGCAGTGTGCTGCTTGTCTGCCAGGCATCCGACCAGTGGCAGGTAGCTGTTGAGCTGTTCCATGAAGACCAGAGCAGCTTCTTCGGCACCAGGCAGATGAAGAGAGAAGCCAGCATCATGCAGCTCCTGAGGCACCAGACATCAGCGAGCTGCTGGAGGTGGGTTGGGTCAGCAGCCGGTGCAGAGGCGGAGAGGCTTGCCCGAGCCTCATTCCATGGCCATGTTCCATCTGATCCTGGCGGCAGTGGGCCACTGCCATGCTCGGCAGGTGGTACAGAGGGACCTCATGCTGGACTCGGAACTGAATGTGAAGCTGGTGGACTTTGGGCTCAGCTGCCAGCTGCCCAGGGGTGCGCTGATGCAGGGCTTCTGTGGGACTCCAGAATACAGCGCCCTGGAGGTGTTCCAGCGGGAGCCCTATGCTGCATTTGCTGCTGACATATAGAGTTTCGGTGTAATCCTCTTCGCTATGGTGGCAGGGGACCTGCCCTTCAATGGGAAGGACCAGGCCAAGTTGTGGGACTGCATCCAGCTGGGGAGCTATGAGCTGCCATGTACGGCCAGCCCAGCCCTGGAGGGTTCCTGAGTCTGCTGCTCAGCCTGGACCCGTGCGACAGGCCTACAGTAGAAATTGCTCAGGAACACTGGCATTTGACCCCCTAGAGGAAGGAGCCGAGGGCAAGGAGGTGACCCTGGTGCAGCCCTGGGGGTTCCTGAGGACCCAGAGGCCCAGGAGTAGCTGGCGGGCCTGGGTCTGCTGCCAGACGCTGTGTGTGCCATCTGTCCCTGGGGGATCCAGCCGGATGTCTGTGCATCAGGACTCACGGAGCCTGGAGCAGGTGCAGCCCCATTGGTAGAGCACGCTTCTGGCCGCAGCCTCACTGCATAGCCTTGCCATTGTGTGGGGCACCCTTGCACTCACATCCTTGAGGGAGATCCAGAGTGTACCTGCCCTCCTTATCTGGGAGCTCGTCCTATCAGGGCCATGGGAGCACAAGCCCAAGCCAGAGTCAGAGTCAGAGCTGGAGCCCAGGTCCGAGCTGGATCCTGCCGTTGCCACAACCGTGCTTGCCTCTCCACTCCCTGGACAGCTGCAAGAGGAGAGGAACCCTGTTGCCAGCACACTCCCCAAGCCCGTCTCTGTGACACCCCCTCCCTCCCCTCCCCCAAGAGCAGTAGGGACCTGGTGGTGCCCGAGGTTCCAGCTGCTGAGCCAGAGGAGGCTGGGACCTCAGCAGCTGCCTCTGTCCCGAGCAAGGGCCGGCAGGGGCTGGGCAGGAGGACTGGCAGGAGGATCCTCAGGTTCCTCCTGTGTGCCTGCTGCCTGCTGGCCCCAGCCAGAGGCCCTGGCCCCCGCAGCCAAAAGGTGGTCCCCAGGTAGCCTACCTCAGTGTGCAAGCTGTGCTGCCTGAGGGCTCTCATTCGCTTGAGCATTTTTTGTGCTTCTCATCAATAAAAATCATAACTTTAGGGTCTGCACTTTGGTGTAGTGCCTCTGCTTGCAGTGGTGGAATACATATGGGCATGGGTTCAACCCTTGCTGCCCTACTTCTGATCTGGCTCTCTGCTATGGCCTGGGAAAGCAGTAGAAGATGGCCCAAGTTCTTGAGCCCTTGCACCTGCATGGGAGACCCGAAAGAAGCTTCTGGCTCCTAGCTTTGGATCGGCGCAGTTGAAGCCATTGCGACCATCTGGGGAGTGAACCAGCAGATGGAAGACCTCTCTCTCTGCCTCTCCTTCTCTCTCTGTAACTCTACCTCTCAAATAAATAAAAAATAAAATCTAAAAAAAATTCATAACTTTATCCATGGAATTGGTCCTTTGTGGTGTATGGGTCCTTGTGTGCACCTTGGCATGGTTGGATGGAGCTCAATGGCAGGTGGATCTCACCTGGACAAGTACAGTCCCCTCTTGTTGCTATGGGGATGGCACAAAGGCTGAACTCCTAGACCTGAGAATGGAGCGCTGGTTCCCAAGGGCTGACTGGTGAGGGGCTGGTTATGGAGGTAGTGGTGGGTGGTGGTGTTTTGAGGGGTGGTAGGTGTGGTGGTGTGTCACTCCCCCTCTTCGCAGAGGAACGACACAGGACCCCGCGTTGTTCTTTTGCCTGCTCGGCCCTTCCCGGGTTTGCTGCTGGTCCTTCCCGGGTTGGTTGCCGATCCTTCCACCTCCGTGGAAGGGCGGCTCCCCCTGTCACTTTCCCCACTTCCGCGGGGGAGTGGCACACCGCCGGCCGGCTCTCTCGGGGGCTGCTCAGATGTTATCCGGATGTTCCTGGTGCATGTTGTCTCTCTCCTCCTTTATAGTCCTCTTCCTCCAATCCCAACTCTGCTACCCACACACCGAGCACGCTGCTCTCCTCCAATCAGGAGCAAGATCAGCTCCTGCAGGTTATTGGTTGAACTGGAGGCAGCTGCGCAGAAGCTGTTTACTCCTCTCCCAGCGCCATACTGTGGGAGAGCAGATGCACAGAATAAGTCTTAATTCCAGTAACTTAGTCTAGTCCGAGTTGCTCCCCACAGTGGTGGTGAGGGGATGAGGCTGTGGAGGGGAGGAGCAGGAGGGAGGGAGAGGATTAAACATGCACAGTTGCTCTTGTACAGGAGGGACACGTTCTGGCATCTGTGACACAGCAGGGAGGTTCCTGGTCATTAGTGATTGTGCAGAGCTGAGAGTGTCCACACCTAATGTCCACCTGTATTGCCAATGGAGAACAAGTTCCCACCCTGAGGGCCAAAGACCTTGACATTATGGTGTACAGGATTGGCCAGGTGTGGACTCAGAAAGCTGCAGGTTGGAGCTGGGCAAGGAGTCCAACTGTGACCTGGGTTCAGCAGTGGACAGAGGAGGACCACCTACCTTGGGTTTCTCTGCAAGAGTTCAGGACACTGGGTCACCTGGCCCCAGCCTGGCCTTCCAACGGTACCTGTGCAAACAGAAGTGAGCTTAAAGGAGGATTGGGGGCTGCGTGCAGAAAGGGCCCCTCAGGCTCCCCCTGGAGACCATGGGCACGGCACCCTCCCCAACCCCTGTTCATCTTCTCTTCCATGTTTTTGGGGACGGGAAAGGGTTCTAAATGGATGCTCCCCATACAGATCACAGCCCTTTTGCTGTTCTGCCTCCTCCTGGCACAGTCAGGGCTGCATGTGCTCCAGCTTGAGCAGGTGGCCAGGCCATTCTTGGAGGGCCTCTGGGAAGTTACAGGGATAAGTGACTTCAGAGACATCACAAGGTCACCCGCAGGAGTGACAAACAGTTCACCCTCCCTCTGGCCATGTCATCAGCTGTGGGCCCTCACATCAGTCTCCAAAGCATGCTTACCCTTCAGTGCTCGGCTGCATGCTGTGTTCCCTCCGAGCTCATTCCTGCACATCTGACCACCCACGTCGATCCACAGCATCCCTCTTCCTTCTGTACAATTCCCACTGGAGATTTCTCCCCACTGCTCCCTGGGAATGCGTTTCCTTCCCTTTTTCTGCTATTTTCCCCTCTTCTAAAGCAGTGCATCTGTTGCCTTGGAATCCTCCTGAAACAATATAATTTTAAAATCTTTTTATTTGAAAAATCTAACAGAGATACAAAAATTACATGTGTTTATGAGCTACTATGTCATGCTTTGTTAATGGTATAATATTCATTCAGTGTAAATATATTTATCCTTTCAGGCACTTACCATCCATTTTTAGTGAAAACATCCAAAAAATACTAAGGTTTTTTTATTGACTGAAACATACAGTAAATTAACATTATCTATCTTCACCCTACTGTCAATCAAACCCAAGAACGTCTTACTCCTATCTAGCCACAACGTAGCACTCATCAATCAATCTCTCCCAATCACTCTTCACTTCCCTACCTAGTCTCTGCTAACCACAATCATAATTTTAGTTTCTATGACATCACCCGTTTTTTTAAGAAAACTTATTTAATAAATATAAATTTCAAAAGTACAATTTTTGGATTATAGTGGTTTTTCCCCCTTAACCACCCTCCTACCCACAAACCATCCCATTTCCTACTCCCTCTCCCATCCCATTCTTCATTAAGTTTCATTTTTAATTATCTTTATATACAGATCGACTTAATATATACTAAGTAAAGATTTCAACAGATTGCACCCACACAGACACACAAATTATAAAGTACTGTTTGAAGATTATTTTTACCATTAATTCACACAGTACAACACAATAAGGGCAGAGATCCTACATGGGGAATAAGTGCACATGACTCCTGTTGTTGTTTAACAACTGAAACTCCTAGCCAGCACCGTGGTTCAACAGGCTAATCCTCTGCCTAGTGGCGCCGGCACACCGGGTTCTAGTCCCAGTCAGGGCACCAGATTCTGTCCCGGTTGCCCCTTTTCCAGGCCAGCTCTCTGCTGTGGCCAGGGAGTGCAGTGGAGGATGGTCCAAGTGCTTGGGCCCTGCACCCCATGGGAGACCAGGAGAAGCACCTGGCTCCTGCCTTTGGATCAGCGTGGTGCACCGGCTGCAGTGGCCATTGGAGGGTGAACCAACAGCAAAAGGAAGACCTTTCTCTTTCTCTCTCACTGTCCACTCTGCCTGTCAAAAAAAAAAAAAAAACTGAAACTCTTATTTATGATGTCAGTAATTACCTGAGGCTCTTGCCATGAGCTGCCAAGGCTATGGAAGCCTCTTGAGTTCACAAACTCCAACCTTATTTAGACAAGACCATAATCAAAATGGAAGTACTCTCCTCCCTTCAGAGAAAGGTACCTCCTTCTTCAATGGCCTGTTCTTTCCACTGGGATCTCACTCACAGAGTTCTTTCTCTTTTTTAAGCTTTATTTATTTATTTGAAAGTCAGAGTTACACAGAGAGAGAAGAGGCAGAGAGAGAGAGAGAGGTCTTCCATCCAATGGTTCACTCCCCAATGGCTGCAATGGCCGGAGCTGTGCCGATCTGAAGCCAGCAGCCAGGAGCTTCTTCCAGGTATCTCACGCGGGTGCAGGGTCCCAAGGACTTGGCCTATCCTCTATTGCTTTCCTAGGCCATAGCAAAGAGCTGGATTGGTAGTGAAGCAGCCACATCTTGAACCAGCGCCCATATGGGAAGCCGACACTTCAGGCCAGGGCGTTAACCCACTGCACCACAGCACTGGCCCCAGAGATCTTTCATTTGGGTCATATTTTGCCACAGTGTCTTGGCTTTCCATGCCTGAGAAACTCTCCTGAGCTTTTTAGCTGGATCCAAATGCCTTAAGGGCTTATTCCGAGACCAGAGTGCTATTTATGGCATTTGGCATTCTGTGAGTCTGCTGTGTATCCCGCTTCCCCTGTTGGATCATTCTCTCCTTTTAATTCTATCAATTATTATTAGCGGACACTGGTCTTAGATATGTGATCTCTTTGACACTTAATCCTATCTTTAGGATCAATTATGAACTTTAACTGATCACTTTAAGTAGTAAGATGGCATTGGCACATGCCAACTTAACGGGATTTGGAATCCCATGGCATGTTTCCAGCTCTACCATTAGAGGTAAGTCCTATGAGCATGTGCCAAACCGTACATCTCCTCCTTCTCTTATTCCCACACTTATTTTTAACAGGGATCAACTTCAGTTAAACACCAAAGAATAATTTTGTGTTAAAGAGTTCAACCAATGGTATTAAATAGCAAAAGAAAATACTAAAAGGAATAAAGTAATAAGTTGTTCCTCGACAGGAACTGTCCCTTTGGGATTGGCTTATTTCACTCAGCAAGATGTTTTCCAGATTCCTCCATTTTGGTGCAGATGACTGGTTTGTTTTTTTTTTTTTTTTTGCCACTGTACAAATTCCAAAATTTCTTTATCCAGTCTTCTGTTGATGGTCATTTAGGTTGATTCCATGTCTTAGCTATTGTGAAATGACTGCAATAAACATTGAGGTACAGATAGCTCTTTTATTTGCCAATATTCCCTTGGGTAAATTCCAAGGAGTGGGATAGCTGGGTCGTGTGGTAGGGCTATAATCAGGTTTCTGAGGCATCTCCAAACTGTCTTCCATAGTGGCTTTACCAGTTTTCATACCCACCAACAGTGGATTAGTGTGCCTTTTTCCCCACATACTAGCTAGCATCTGTTATTAGTTGATTTCTGTATGTAAGCCATTCTAACCAGGGTTAGGTGAAACCTCATTGTGATTTTGATTTGCATTTCCCTAATGGCTAGTGATCCTGAACATTTTTTCATGTGTCTGTGGCCATTTGGATTTCTTTTTATTATTTTTCAAATTTTATTTAATAAATATAAATTTCCAAAGCACAACTTTTGAATTATAGTGGCTTTTTCCCCATAACCTCCTTCCACCCACAGCCATTCCATCTCCCACTCCCTCTCCCATTCCATTCTTCATCACAATTCATTTTAAATTATCTTTATATATAGATCAACTTAGTATCTACTAAGTAAAGAATTCAACAGACTGCACCCACAAAGTCACACAAAGTATAGAGTACTGTTTGGGTAGTAGTTTTACCATTAATTTGCATAGTACAACACATTAAGGACAGACATCCTGCATGGGGAGCAGGTGCCCAGTGACTCCCATTGTTGATTTAACAATTAACACTCTTATTTATGACGTCAGTAATCACCCGAGAAGCCTCTTGAGTTCACAAATTCTGATCTTATTTAGACAAGGCCATAGTCAAAGTGAAAGCTCTCACCTCTCTTCAGAGAAAGGTACCTCCTTCTTTGATGGCCTATTCTTTCCGCTGGGATCTCACTCACAGAGATCTTTCATTTAGGGTGGTTTTTTTTTTTTTTTTTGGCCACAGTGTCTTGGCTTTCCATGCTTGCAAAACCCTCATGGGCTTTTTAACCAGACCTGAATGCCTTAAGGGCTGATTCTGAGGCCAGAGTCCTGTTTAGGGCATTTGCCATTCTATGAATCTGCTGTGTATCCTGCTTCCCACGTAGGATCCATTCCTTCCTTTTTAATTCTATCAGTTTTTATTTGCAGACACTGGTCTTATTTATGTAATCCTTTCGACAATTAATCCTATCTTTTTGATCAATTAAGAACTTGAACTGATCACTTTAACAAGATGGCATTGGTACATGCCACCTTGATGGGATTGAATTGGAATCTCCTGGCATGTTTCTAGCTCTGCCATTAGGGGTAAGTCCTATGAGCATGTGCCAAACTGTACATCTCTTCCCTCTCTTATTCCCACTCTTATTTTTAACAGGCATCTCTTTTCGGTTAAATTTAAATGACTAAGAATAATTGTGTGTTAATTAAAGAGTTCAACCAGTGGTATTAAGTAAAACAAAAAAATACTACAAGGAATGAAATAGTAAGTTGTTCCTTGACAGTCAGGACAAGGGCTGATCAAGTCATTGTTTCTCATAGTGCCATTTTCACATCCACGGGTTTCCTTTTAAGTGCTAATTTGTTGTCACAATCAGGGAGAACATATGATATTTGTCCCTTTGGGGACTGGCTTATTTCACTCAGCATGATGTTTTCCAGATTCCTCCATTTTGTTGCAAATGACTGCATTTCCTGTTTCCATTTGGATTTCCTCTTTTGCAAAAAGTCTATTTAGGTCCTTGGCCTATATCCTAAGTGGGTGACATCACTGTTTTTTATACCCCCATGATTATTCCAGCGCTGTTCACAATAGGCAGGAAATTAAAATAACCTAAATGTTCATCAGCTGATTAACGGAGAGAGTAAACGTGGTACATTCCCACAATGGAATATTACTCAGTCATTAAGAGGATGAGTTCGTCATTCTCAATGAAACTGGAGGTCATTATGTCACATGAAAGAAGCCAAAAGTGGAAAGAGAAACAGCATCATTTTTAATCTTTCAGAAATAACTTTATTAGGGTTGATGGTAAGAAGACAAAACAATAATAAATTGAGCACAAATTTTATGCCATGGAAACAAAGTTCTTCTTAAACTTTGCAGGCAGTCTTTGCATGGAAAAGCAAATGTTCCTGCCTCCACTGGAGAATCAAGTCTAATCTAAGCTGTCAAGTCAGTCGCTGGGATTTCCGAGTCTCCCTCCTTAAAGAGATGTGTGCCCCTCCTCAGCAGAGGAACACAGCCTGCAAGCAGAGGAAGACACTCCTTCCCTCGCATTTCTCTATCTCCTTCTTGTTTCTGCTCTCTAATCCTTCATGACCAAAGCCCACACTCACTTTTTTCAGGGAACTTAAATCACATGTTATGGCATCGTCTATTTATTTTTGTAAATCTTTCCCTACAGAGGTGTTACTTCTTGATCAATTCATCAATAAAATGTCAATGTATAATTTGCCCAAGTCTGCATCATTCTGCAAGGCCAGGTTCACACTAAGGCCCAATACTGTCAGACCTCAGTTTATGCATTCATTTCTTGTGAAGACTTTTATTGGTTTTCTACTTTGCCCAAGCACCCACAGCCTTTATAACAGTTCATATGAACTCGCAAAGTATTTTACCCTGATTACTTCCATTTTGCCTGTCTTATCACCAAAAACTGTCTGCAGGAAGCCATAATTCAGTACAAGGAGAACAGGGGTGCAGAGCAGACAGAAAAGGCTTAGCTTGCACCTTGCTTTACCACATTCTGGCTCCAGGATCTTGGACAAGTTATTTCCTGTCTTTGCGGCTCAACGTCCTCACCTGGGAAGTGTGTGTAATACCTGAAGGATTGCTGGAGTGAGGATTTTGAGATGTGAGGGGACAGTCTGCAGAGGGTAAATGCTCATCACTGTTAGCCAACCAGATGGACCTCATGCTGCCTTCAAGCACTAAGCATGCAATCTCATTTGCAAATCTTCTCATTATCAACAGGACACCGAGATATTTCACTTGGTTGAAAACTGATTAGATGTTCATTTAAATATAACACAGAACTAGTTAAAAATGAATATTCCCAATATTGTGTTTTCAATGGCTTTGAATTATGTGTTTTCATTTAAGTGAAAGACATGGAGACAAAGAAACAGAGGTAGACAGACATGGAGAGATCTTCTATCTGCTGATTCACTCCTCAAATGCTCATAACAGCCAGCGCTGGGTCAGGCCAAAGCCAGGAGCCAGGAGCTCAATTCAAGCCTCCCAGGTGGTTGGCAGGAACTCAAGTATATGAACTGTCTCCAAGGTGTACATTAGCTGGAACACGGGCTTTAAGTGAGTCTAGAACTCAAACCAGGCACTCAGATATAGGATGTGGATGTTAAAGTTGTGTCTTCACTGCTGGGTCAAACACTGCCCATCCAACAAAATGATTTTAGTGATTTTGTGTATCCCCTGATCAGCAGCTCTTCGAGAGGTAGAGATGCACACAATTTAAAATGTTAAACAAAACTGGCTTTTAGGCACATTCTTCCAGATAGACATGTTTTAGCTCTGCTGCTCCCCAGTATTAACCTCAAAATGAGAAATAGAAGACACCAGCATGGATCTCTAAAACATCTCAGTAACATTAATAGATTCCTGTCTAGAAAATATTGATGAAAAAATACTGAGGCCATTGTTTGGTCACTATGAAATAAAAGTCTATATTTAATTGTGTGTGGTATGTACTGTATAAATTACAGAGACTATAAAGCTATGGAAACTAATATAAGTGAAGGAAAAGCAATATTGCACCAATAAAACATACTATTTGTACCTCATTAACTGAATGTAGTAAAATTCCATATGAAATAAAAATTACTCCATGAATAAAAATCTCATGAGAATTGAAATCCAGTGGTCTGAAGTCACTGAAAAATCTAAGCAATATTTAATATGTTTTGAAAAATTTCATTATAAAACATAATATAAGGATATTCTATACCAGGTTTCACTTCACCTCTTCAATGGAAACATTTTAAGACTTGTCCAAACTGGAATTCCAACAATGTTTTGATAAAATGTATTTTATTTGCCACAAAAAACTTCGGACTTAACAATTTGTAATTATTGATATAGTTTATGTACAGAGAAATTTAAAAACTTGAACTAGTCTGATAGCAATTTTTCTGCCCAAGTAAAGTTCCTGTCAAAAACTAGGCCAACTAACCAATGATTCACATTAAGCTCAATCTATTTTAATTTAAGCATAGGCAAATATTGATAAGAAAGTTTATTCAAGAACCGTCCACCCGTCTTTACCATAAAACTCTATTTGCCCAATCTCATCAATTCCATATCCAAACTATATTTTATCCTTTCATTTTTTCTTTGAAATTACTGAGTTTTTGTAAAATAACTTCACATTCTTCTGTTAGCATTTTAGGCCTCATCAAGTACAAACTATGTATTATTAGCAGAAGGATAAAATTTAAGTCTTGCTACAGCTTTTTGTAAATGTGTGGTTTACATACAAAGCCTAGCTTATGTAAAGATCCAATTGCAAGGTAGCACAGTGCTGTTTCCTTGTAGAAACATTTCCTTCCTAACTGCCACAGGCCTCCCTGTTAGTGTCTTCAAAACAAAAACCCTGATGAATCGATTGGGTGAATCCACTGCAAGAAGCTCAAACTCAACGTGACTTCACAAGAGGGAATTTTGAGTCTCAGCTAGCATGGAACTCAGAGAGGGGAGGGGTTCTGGGTCTGCTCCTTTGGGGTCCCAGCCCTACTCCTCAGATTTTCCTAACTGCTGGCATCTTTGTGATTATCCTCAGCTAATTATCCTCAACCTGGCTGGCCCCTCTCATGGAATGGAAACCACAGAACATACCCTCTACCATGCATCTCATTGGAGAAAAGGTAGCTTCTCTTTTCCATGGAACTAGAGAAATGTTCTCTATATGATTTCAACTTTCTTATATTTACCTCCTCCTGAGATTGTTGTACCTGAGCGAGTGTAAACAAAGGAGCATCACACATTGATAGAATTTGACTGTCCTTTATTGCCGGTGGTGGAGAGTGGGCTCATGCCCTAAAGAACTCTCGACGCTGAAGTCCAAAGCAACAGGGTTTATAAAGGCAAAAACTGCAAAATCGGGAGGGGAATACATGGTCGCTAGGATCAGGGGGGGAATACATGGTTACTGGGGTCAAGCTGACCTAAAACCTATGTGAAACTAGTATCAATTATAATCTTGACAATACCAGTTACAGTCTTAACAATTTCAATTATAATCTTGACATTGATCCAGGTATTGGTTTTAATCATATGTAGGACATAGACAAATTACATTTTTATCATTAGCGCAAGTGTAGCCTATCCACTTCCAAGCTTGAGCGATCATGCTGGGGGGTTTCTGTGCTCTGCCAAGTGTGATATAGTGGACTGCTATTGTCCAACTGTTTTAGATCATAGTTTCAGACCAGAGTCTCATGGTGTGGGGGGGCACCTTCCCAGAATGGAGTCTCAGGTTCTCCAAAATGGAGTCCCTACTGTCAAGGTGTTATTTCAAGATAATCAGCAGAATGACTATAATAGGTTCATCAATGTCTTGAGGGTGATTCTATGCTATCTAATGAACATTGAGAAGTCAGTTGCTTGTTTTATGTAACATTCTGATTTTTGCAGGGTATGGTGCCAGATTTGCTTGTGCACACTCTAAATGTTTATCTGTGGTTTTTGAAATGTGTCATTTTCCTCTTTCCCTTTAGTCATTTTTTTTTTTTACTCTTTTGGAAGAATGAATAGCCCTGGGTCTTCATCTGCCAATCTTGTTGATAAAAGAGCAGATAGCACAAAGCCATGCTCAAAAGTTTTCTGATGAGAAAAAATGAACTTCAAAAAAGATGGTTGTTCTTATGTGAGGACTTTAATCAAGTGCTTTCTGTGTGCTGGACTTCATATGAGCCGATTGCTTACAAGGATAGGTGAGACGGTGTCAGTCTTTAGAAGGGCCACAAAGTTAGCAATAACTATCATAATAATAACTATCATATAACAATAACTATCATTAGCTATCATCATCAATAACTATAATAACTATTATTGCCTTGCTCCTGGAACCTCTAACACCCAATGAAATAGAGAAAATCATTCTTTCTTTAAATATACTATCACTGTCTTAAGCAATTAATTAAATAATTAACTAATAATAAATAAAAAAGCTCAAAATCTTGCATGTGTATATGTATATGGGTATGTGAAGTCAACTATACATAGTTCTTTATTGAAATAATTTGTATTTTCTATTTTTACCTGGGCTCCAGACATAATCCAACAAGTTGTACCTTGAATTATTATCCAAGGAAAGGCAGGTGTTCACCAAACAGAATGCAAAAATTAAAAACAGCCTAACTGCAGAAAAGTCCCTTTGAACCACAAGCTTACATTTCTAATGGTTTTACAATCTTCTCAAGCTGTCAATAGAAAAACATGGCTTGACATTGAACACATATCAAGTTGGTAGCATAACCATTTTATGTCTGATTGTGCGCTGAAAAAAAGCTCAAAATTCAGTCCCTGTGATGTAAATGCTGCTTGCAAATAGACCATTCCTCCTGCAGTGCTTCAGGAGGACTGTGGTCATAGCAGGTGCCATTTCATTCTGCAGCACAAGGGTTTTCACACAATTACAAATGGAATGCTTCAGAGAACATCGCAAGTGGAGCGTTATTAATATGAATTTTACCATCATAAAATTCACCATTAGAAGAAAAAAAAACACAATCTTACTTTTTAGCTTTATGGGTTAAAAAGAACTTGCTGTGTTAAGTGAAGATTTTCAGGTTTATAGATGAGAACCTTAGGAATGCCCATTCATAATTCCATAAGGCATTCATTCATTAAGTCAGCTGAAACATACTTAACACTTGCTCGGTTGTTTCTCATGTGGAAAGGATTTACCTAGTCATCTGTTCAACTGACATTTACATTGTGGAATCTGTACTCTCTTTGAGAGTCTATGGGAGTATATAAATGGTTACAGATTACCTTAGCCAGAACTGCCATGTCAAAGGAGTAATGTGTTTTCTAACCAAAGCAAATAAACAAACTTCAGCAATTAAAATACATCGAATGGTTTTTAATGTGAAAAACTGTATTGGAAAATCATTTAAAAATTAGATTTTATCCACATTTGGGAGTAAGACTTATTTTTGCACAACTCATTGCAGTTAAATTTTGGGTCCTGTAAATCTGAACTTCTCTGTGAATCTCAGCTAAATTTCCATTCCTCAACTTTGAGAAACCCAAGCTCACTGGTTATCTCACCTCCTAGGTTTTTTTCATTGTAGATGAGTGCTTTCTAACCATCAGAAGCAAGAACAGAAAGTATCACAAAAATCAAACAACAGGAGGTTGAAGAGGGGCTAAAGTGAATGTTACTGACCACAGATTGATTTCTCAGATGTCTCTCATCGCTTGTCCCCATCACTGCATAAAATCAAGACTTCATCCTACCGCGTAACTGAAATTCATTCATGTTCTCCTCTACACGATGAGTATAGAATTACAAATGGAATGGTTCTGAGAACGTTGCATGTGGGGCGTTATTAATACAAATTTTACCATTAAAAAATTCACCATTAGAAGAAAAAAACACAATATTACTTGGTGCTATATTATCCTGCTTGGAAGGGAAAGGGAAACGGCCCCTCAAGCCCTGGCCATGGCAGGAACTCTCAAGTTCAACCCAGAGACCGATTTCCTGACAGGCAAGGACGGCAAGAAGCTCAACCTGGAGGCGCCGGATGCCGACGAGCTTCCCCGTGCAGAATTTGACCCAGGGCAGGACACCTACCAGCATCCCCCCAAGGACAGCAGCGGGCAGCGGGTGGACGTGAACCCCACCAGCCAGCGCCTGCAGCTGCTGGAGCCTTTCGACAAGTGGGACGGCCAAGACCTGGAGGACCTGCAGATCCTCATCAAGGTCAAAGGAAAGTGTACTACTGACCACATCTCGGCCGCCGGCCCCTGGCTCAAATTCCATGGGCACCTGGACAACATCTCCAACAACCTGCTCATCGGCGCCATCAACATTGAAAATGGCAAGGCCAACTCCATGTGCAACGCTGTCACCCAGGAGTTGGGCTCTGTCCCTAGCATTGCCCGCCACTACAACAAACATGGCATCAGGTGGGTGATGATTGGTGATGAGAACTACAGCGAGGGCTCGAGCCGGGAGCACGCAGCACTGCAGCCGTGTCACCTTGGGGCCCGGGCCATCATCACCAAGAGCTTCACCAGAATCCACGAAACCAACCTGAAGAAGCAACGCCTACTGCCTCTCACCTTCGCAGACCCTGCCGACTACAACAAGATCCACCCTGGGGACAAGCTGACCATTTAGGGCCTGAAGGACTTTGCCCCTAGCAAGCCCCTGAAGTATATCATCAAGCACCCCAATGGAACCCAGCAGACCATCCTCCTGAACCACACCTTCAATGGGACCCAGATCCAGCGGTTCCGCGCCAGCAGCGTGCTCAACAGGATGAAGGAGCTACAGCAGTGAGGTCGCGCTCCCGGACCCGCCCAACCGTGCCGGCCTCAGTGCTGCGTCTTGCACCAAGCCGGATCTGATCCATCCAGGCCATGGCTTCCTGCCTGCCCCTCAGCCCCAGAGTGACCCACGGCTGAGGGGCTCCTTATGGTCTTCAGCCCTCACCCCCCTGTTGCCGATCTGGTTCAGATCTCGAGTGGTCCCTGAACACTCCCATCTAAAGTGATGACAACACTCCCATCTAAAGAAGTTTTTACTCTGCCTGATCCTATCACTGGGGGCTGAAGATTTTAGAGAACTTTTTGTTCCTGCAAGGAAAATAAGAATCAAATTCAGCGAAAAAAAAAATGGCATTAATTTTAGAGCAGTTTTAGTTCACAGAAAAATTGAGGATAAACTTTATAGAATCTTCTCACATCTCTGCTCTTACATGTGCACAACTTCTGCCACTACCAACATCCAGCAACAGAGAACACTGGTTCCAATCAACAAGTCCATGCTGCACCTCATTTTTACCCAAAGTCCATACTCTGTGTTGAATTCACTATTGGTGTATTACAGGCTACATTTTTAAAAAATGATTTATTTATTGGAAAGTTTGGGTTACAAAAAGGAAGAGGGGAAGGAGAGGGAGAGAGAAGGAAAGGGAGAGGGAGAAAGAGGGGTAGGAAGACAGAGAGACAGACAGACAGAGAGAGAGAGAGAGAGACAGAGAGAGAGAGAGAGAAGTATCCCATCCACTAGTTCACTCCACAGATGGCTGCAACTACCAAATCTGCACCTGGCTGAAGCCAGGAGCCAGAAACTCCATCCAGATCTCTCATGTGGGTGGCCATGGCAGGTCCAAGCACTTGGGCCACCTTCTGTTGCTTCGCCAGGCACATTAGCAGGGGGCTTGGTCAGAAGCAGAGCAGCCAGGACACAAACTGGCCCCCTGTATGGGACGCTGGTGTCCCAGCTGGTGGCTCTACCCACTACACCACAATGCCATCCCCACATCCTACACACTTTGAGAAATCTATGATCACAGGTATCCTTCATTGCAGTGTCACACGAAATGGTGCCACTGCCCTAAAATAGCTCTTTACCCTGCCTGTTCATCCCTCCCTCCACACAAACCCCAAGCAGCCACTGGTCTTTTCAATGCTTCCACAGTGTTACCATTTCTAGAATGTCATATAAATGAAGTCACACAGCATCCTTTGCAGGTCGGCTTTCTTTCCCTGAGTCATATACAGTTAAGTCTCCTCACAACTTGATAGCTCATTTCTGAATAGTATTTCATGCTGGTGGATTCACCACAGTTTATTTGTTTATTAACCTATAGAAGGACACCTTGATTGCTTCAAAGTTTTGGGAATCCGGGCTGGCACTGTAGCGTAGTAGGTAAAGCCTCCACCTGCAGCACCAGCATCCTATATGGGTGCCAGTTCGTGTCCTGGCTGCTCTTCTTCCTGTCCAGCTGTCTATGACCTAGAAAAGTGGTGGAAAATGGCCCACGTAGTTGGGCCCCTGCGCTTGCATGGAAGACTTGGAAGAAGCCCCTGGCTTTTGATTGGCCCAGCTGTGGCCATTGTGGCATTTTGGGGAGTGAACCAGCAGATGGAAGGCTTTTCTCTGTCTATAGTCCTACCTCTCAAATAAATAAGTAAAATCCTTTTTAAGATTTTAGGAAAAAAAAGATTTATTTGAAAGACAGAGGTACAGAGAGAGGTAGAGACAGAGACAGAGAGGAGAGAGAGGTCTTCCATCTGCTGGTTCACTCCCCAGATGGCACCAATGGCTGGAGCTGCGCTGATACGAAGCCAGGAGCTTCTTCCGGGTCTCCCATGTGGGTGCAGGGGCCCAAGGACTTGTGCCATCTTCCACTGCTATCCCAGGCCATAGCAGAGAGCTGGATTAGAAGAGGAGCAGCCAGGACTAGAACCGGCGCCTCTATGGGATTGCTGGCACTTCAGGCCAGGGCATTAACCCGCTGCGCCACAGTGCCACAGTGCCAGCCCCATAAATAAAAATCTTTAAAAAAAGTTTTGACAATTATAATCAAGGAAACATCCATGGGCAGGTTTTTGTGAGGCCACAAGTGTTTAGAATCCAGGGACAAGTTTAGGGTTGAATATCTGGAAAAGTGACTATGGAAATAAAATTAAGAACTAAAAATTAAATTCATCTTATGGGAAAGATCTAACTTTTCAAGTTAGAATGTTTGACTATTGTTACAAATTTCGTGTTTCTGCCCATCTGCAGACTGGGAGTTTTATTTTGATATGTTGTATTCAAATTGTTGTGTTATCTTGGAAGCTTGCATGCATTTGTAGCTCTCTGTGAATATCCTGGGAGACTATCTAATGGGTCTGGAAACAAAGAAAGGTAATTCTTTTAAGGGAATCAACGGGCAATTAAAATGGAGATGCACTCTCAATATGCATCAGTCCAATTTAACCATGTTCCTCAAACCTGAGTGTCCCTAAGATTTAACAGTCTTCCCTCCAGTTTGGGGTCTCAGAAAATCCTCTTTTCTTCCACAAAGACACATCAGGGGATTTCCAGACTCTCCTGCCCTGTTCTATTTGATTGTCATCCATCTTGTTACCTCAAATACTGACATTTCCTACAGTATCCACACACACACTCATCTAGACTATAACTATAGTCATAGATCCTAACTTAACCTGAATTCTGGGCTGGTTTTATTCCTCATTACTTCTAATTTGGGGAATGGCCACATTTCTGGCTTCATTTGAAATCTGGGTGAGGGCAGAATATATCAGATCAGGCTTTAGGATGACAACGGCATGAGGAAGGCAAGGGCAGCACACACTGCTCTCCCACCTTCCCTGAGAATAGCGGTCTCAACCAGGCAGTCTTCCTTCTGTCTCAAGAAATGACAGACAGACAAGGATGGCCAGCGCCAGGGCAGCACTGGGCACACAGCACTGTGCCTCCAGTGTCTGCACCTGTGACAGGGTTATTCCTTTGTGCACCCATGCCACTATGTTTTCAAAGCAGGAAACATGAGGCAGAGACAACAACGGAGTGCTCCTGACAGCTTTCTTTCCATCCGTGCATCACCATGAGGATTCCCTACAGCTTCTGTGTGCTGCCCTCATGGGAAGGCCCATGGGTGGAAGCTGTGAGCTTGCTCCTGTTCCCCGAAGGACAGAGCCATGGAGCCCGGAGGGGCCCAGACAGAGCCAACAGAGGGTAACTCTGCAACCAGATTCAGATCTCACAGGAGCACAAAAGGGCAATGAGAAGACTGACTGACAGAGAGGGGTTCTCCTACCCCAGCCTTCCTGTCATCAGCATTTCTGCTTCTGCCCTGGTGATCCTGCTCTCCCGGCTCCCCAGGTGGGAGCCCCAGCAGTAGCTCAGGGGGTCAGCCACACCAGAGACACTGTGGCTGGTCACAAGTCTCCCATCCCGGGAACCCCTGCGGGCTGTGATTATAATTGCAATCCCACCTAGGATTCCCACTGGAGTTTCCTTATGTCCAGGAGTTGGGATTCTCCATGCACCACACACTGCTTTAACAGAACGTGGTAGGTCAGGTAGGAAATACAATGAGCACGGACCATATTGGCCTCAATCGTCTGCTGTACAGATACGTCTTAAGCACTAGAATGATGTTTTCCAGTTTTCACACAAAGGACAACAGAGTAGGTTCTTAAGATCTGCAGCTACTTGAAGATGGATGGGATTAAAATTTGTATGTTGCTGTTCTGGTTTTGCCACTCAGATAAAGGTGTAAGGTTCTGCTTCACAAAACAGGAAGGATGGAGTTGGATTCTTTAATCAACACTATGGATTGAGTGTGACTTCCCCAACTAGATGTGTCCTAGTAAGATTTTCCTAATACATGGCTAATTTATATTCCAGTTATTAAGACAGATCAGAGTTTTTCTCATTGTGTGCCTGTGTCTCTGCAAACTGAGACAACACTACGTATTTCTGCTGTAAGTATAATAAACAGAAAATGATATGATCTGGGCAGGTGCTGTGGTGTAGTAAGTTAAGCATACACCTATGGCACCGCCATCCCATGTAGGCACAGCTGCTCTTCTTCTGATCCAGCTCCCTGCTGATGGCCTGGGAAAGCAGCGGAAGATGGTCCACGTGCTTGAGACCCTGTACCCTTGTTGGACACCCAGAAGAAGCTCCTAGCTCCTGGCTTTGGTTTGGGCAACCTCTAGCCCTTGTGGTTATTTAGGAAGTGAACCAGTGGATGGAAGACCTCCCTCTCCCTCCCTCCCTCCCTCCCCCCCTCTTTTTCTCTTTCTCTCTCTCTCCCCCTCCCTCCCTCCCTCCCTGCCCCATATCTGTAACTATGCCTCTCAAGTAAATAAATAAATCTTTTAAAAAACTGAAAATGACATAATATGAAAAACTACTTGTTTCTATGAATTTATTTTAAATAACACTTATTTTAAATTCGTGATACCTTCCTAACCTGAAGAAAGTTAGCCTACATTAAAAATACATTATATCAAAAATATCTTTCTAAACCAGCCTTAAGTGTAGAGAAATATGAAAAGACATGTTGTTGTTAATCATTGTATACCAAATACACCTAAACATTTATAATATCTCGATATAATCACAGAAATAGGATGAAATATTTCATGTTTGCCAACAATATTTTAATTTAAAATCATAAAACTTGAATTCATTTTAAGAAGAAAGGAATAGATTAATACAAAATCAAATTGAGGGACTTTAACAACTACAGGTGGGCAGCTAGAAGCATAAAGCTCAATTTCTGACTTTTTGTCAGGATAATCAGTTGTTTTAATTTTAAATGTAGAATATTTGAATGTAAGGTATTTTAGTATGAAATACTTTAATCTAAAAACACTTTGACATTTCCCATAACATCTTAAAAATATAGCATTTATATTATTGATATTTTGCCTGATACATTGAAAGATATGCTCAAAAAAGCTTCCCTTGAGCTAACTAGGAGAACACAAAAAGCCTCTTACTTAGTCCAAATCATATTTCAAATAAAAAAAGCCTCCTTTGAGAAAGACAAATATACTGCACAGACCATATCTGGGAGTGTGAGGCGCGCTTATGATTGGAGGAGAAAAGCTCCTTCAGGTTTGCGCCAGTGAGGCTGACCCAGAGGAGGACATTCTCAGTGTGTGGAGTGACCACAGTCAGGACCATGATGGCCAGTCCCAAGTGCTCTCTGAACTCACCCAGACCCCTGGAATTCTAACCCATAGGTGCATATTCTCAACATATAGTCAATATGTGAGAATGGGCATGCAAAGCACACTAATTGTTTATGCCTATGGGAAATCCCCCCCCCCAAAAAAAAAAAAAAAACCTGCTATTACAATTGGACAAACACCAGGGAAAACACATGGGCGACTGACAGCCACAGACTTGATTTCAAACCAGGCCAGAAAGGTCAGAGTGCTGTGTGAACAAAGACTCAGAGTCTCCGTCTTCCCCACACTGCTCTCTGGAGAGCATCAGGAGGATAGATACTTGGGTGTCCGAATCCTTGCCTTCCAAAGGGAATGTAACACCCATAGAATCCTCAGCAGTACGTAGGAGCCACCGTTTCACCTGTTTGAACATGTTTTCGACAGAGCAGATGCTGACGACGACACATCTGACTGAGGCCTATCTTCATGTGACACAATGTGTTCTGAATGTTTGGTTTATAGTGGGAAATACAAGCCCAGAAAATAGTCTAATGAAACACTTATTTAGATGATAGAATGGTTTTCACTCTCCCCTTTTCTATTTCCATGACTTTAGCAAGGAAAGAAATATTGTGGGAGCTCCTAGAACTGAATATTTGAAGTCAAATATTATACTACTTAGTTTTTGTTGTGAAATTATGGAGTTTAAGGTCTCAGATTTAGAATTCTTCCTCGGTGTCTAATTTATACATAGCCTGCATGAAATACCATGCGAATTTAACAGAAAAAAGAGATACAGATATTACCTTAAAATATTCCTTCCTTCCTTTTAATACAGAATGCCAGCTTAAAAATTACACATTTGATTTGCTTTCTGTGGTATTTTCCATCTTCAGCCATCAGGAAACGGCCATGCTCCATTAACAGATGAGCCTTGTTAATTTTTGTAATGCATTAAGTAAACTATTTGCCAGATGTTGTCTTTGAGTATTAAAGTTTACACTTTAAATTTAGCATAGAAATCAACAGGGTGTGAGTCCTCTGGGTAATTAAATCTTAATTTTTGAGAGTGGATTGGGTCTAGGGAAAAGCTTCTAAGAAGGGGTGTGTTTTTGCCACAGTTGTCACTGGAGAAGTGGCCCGTGAGATGGAGCAATGGGAAATCCCTGTTTTTCCAGTGATCAGATTTTTTTTTTTTTTTGGGGGGGGGGGGAGACAGGCAGAGTAGACAATGAGAGAGAGAGACAGAGAGAAAGGTCTTCCTTTTCCGTTAGTTCACCCTCCAATGGCCTCTACGGCCAGCATGCTGTGGCCGGCGCACCGCGCTGATCCGATGGCAGGAGCCAGGTGCTTCTCCTGGTCTCCCATGGGGTGCAGGGCCCAAGCACTTGGGCCATTCTCCACTGCACTCCCTGGCCACAGCAGAGAGATGTTTTCTAACCCTGTTGACCGACTCATCAAAATGGCTGACTGCCACTCTCGGCTGGGGCGGTGGAACCTGAAAGATTTCCTTGTTTTGTCTCTCTGTTTTCCCATAAACTCCTCAGTGCATTGTTGACTGCTCACTGACCTCCAGAGCAAGTGCAGATGGCTTCCAGCATTCATGGTGCATAGGACCGTGGAGGTCAGGAGCACTGCCTTCCCAGACCCGACTCGCCCTTCCCAGGAAACCAGGTGGCAAGGGGAAGCACAAAAATTAAAAACAAACAAAAAGAAGGAACGAAAAAATCACACCAGTGAAAAACCAGAAAATATGCTCAAGTGCTGGAGAAGCGAGACTCTTGTAGGGAATACAGAAGTAGACGTCTTAATTACCTGGAAGAAGTAAGAGCAAAATACGATGTACAGCTCCCCGGAAAATCAGCGCTCGGTACGGTTAGCACCTGGGATAACTGCCTCACAAACTGCACTAGGGCGCTGGCCCTTGAAATTCTGAGTTAGGGCGCCGTTGGGGTGCGCGTTCACCGGTAGCAGTGACTCCACGCGGGCAGCGCCATCTAGCGGTCGCAGCGCAAACTGCAGCGGAAAAAAATTGGCCCAAACTTGTTTAAACTGGACTTTATAAACCACCAAAACATACTTCTGAAACTATGCAATGTCTATTTGTGTCTAGCACATGGCACATTTCACTTAGACTCATCATTTTGTACTTTTACTATGGCCTCATAACAAGTGCTGCAGCTGTTTCCAGGTAAGGAACAGGATGTAGACGGTTCGTGAATCGCTATGCGTATCTTACGATCTCACAGAAACACAGCTTCATAAGTTAGTTACTATTTGAAAATTCAGTTTATTTGAATCTCTTCAAATAAACTACGGGGGGAAATAGAGGGTCCGTTCCTGCATTGCTGGCCTCTGCATGCTATGCTACAGTCCCAACAAATTCTCTCCCTGGCAGGGACTTGAGCTTGAAATACACAGGCCTGGAAGGCCTTTATTTTCCACTTGTGGAACTGGAATGTAATTGAAATGAGACATTACTAAGTCACTCAGGCATTATCACAGGCTGGTTTTGGGTAGTCATTTGGTTTGGAGCCTGCAGGATCGGAAGCGAACTATTTTGTTTCGGAGCCCTGCAGCAGTGAGAAAGCATTGAAGTATCTCACGGGCATGTGGTGTAAGCGCTGCTGTCCAAAACCAGCAATCAGTTGGCTGCACACTCCCTCATTTCCTTACCCACCTTCTCCTCCTCTTCTGAAAGAAGCAGAGGAATTATTGAGCAGTTGAAAGTAATTGTCCTTTGGGGCCCAAGACATTTTGCTTTTCTATACCCCAGTGGGGAAGCAGAAAGGTTCTGTCACCTTGGGGACCAGCCCAGCCTGTGAGGCTGAGGGCCAGCAAATCTCCAAGGTGATGCAGAAGCATGTTGGGGGTGACTGAACACACTCAACACTTGGAAAATTTCCTTATAAGCACACACAAGAAAAAGCATCAGGGGCTGGCGCTGTGGCGTAGTGGGTAAAGCTGCCTGCAGTGCCAGCATCCCATATGGGCACCAGTTCGAGTCCTGGCTACTCCACTTCTGATCCAGCTTTCTGCTATGGCCTGGGAAAGCAATAGAAGATGGCCCAAGCCCTTGGACTCTTGCACCAGTGTGGGAGATACAGAGGAAGCTCCTGGCTCCAGGCTTCAGATAGGCACAGCTCCAGCCATTGCCCCCTCTGGGAAGTGAACCAGCAGATGGGAGACCTCTCCCTTTGCCTCTGCCTCTCTGTAACTCTGCCTTTCAAACAACTACATTAATTTTTTAAAAAAAGAAAAGAAAAAGCATAATTATTTGCCTCGGGTTTTTTTGATTTTTACATGTCACCTCCAAGATGAACTACAAATGAAAGAATATTTGTGGATCCCAAAGACCTGTGGGGTCAACTGCTTTAAAAATTCTATGAAGAAGTTTAAGGGATCACAAATAATGTCCCTTTTTCTGTTTCTTTTTGGAAGAAAAGTATTGAGACTGTACTTGTCCAGACCTCATCAACATAAAGAACCTTCCCTTTCTTGGGAAGGAAGCTTTCTTATACCCTTGGTTGACTTCACACAATAACACAATCTGGTACACAAACGTAGGCCATTTAAAGGAGTCGTTTGGGTGAAAACCTGTCTTCATCTCACTCAAAATATTACCTAAGTGTGACCTGAACCATTTGGAGTAGCTCCGCTTGAATTGTGTTATGTTTTCAGTAGTGAAGCCTGATAACTTGATAGTTCCCAAGAGCTGGATGCTGATGACTTCAGAACGCAGCTGACGTTACACGCCACTTTTCTGAAAACCCCAGAACTCTGTCAGAGATGAGATAAGTAAAAACGTTCGGAGCTGTGTAGAAACTTGTGGGTACCCTCAAACACAGGACTATTAGTTACCTTCCCGGTAGACTTGGTCAATCCCACATTAATATAATCTTTTTACTGGTGGCTAATGGAAAATAACAAAAACTTGGCCTCAATATTTTTAACATTGACCTATTTGGAAGTTGAATTGCTAGGAAAATAGCATTCACAGAACATTAACCACATTGCAGATATTCTGTTTGGAGGATTTGAGTTCCTTTTTTCCCCCCTTGTCTAACATGGAATTAGAATTGTGTTGCCAGGAAGGTCTTCAGTTCAAGCCATCACCATTTCTCCTCTGGATTGTTGCTTCCCTTTTGTGATCCCAACTCTAGCTCACCATCCTCATCCTCAGCCCATTCACAGTTATCAGCTTTGTCTGTCCGACCTCATTATCCTATCGTCACTGCACACAGACACATGTGCACTGCTCGTCAATGATCATGGCTCACGGGGAGATTTTGTCTCCCCACTTCTCCATTGCAAATCTGCAGTTCAGCCACAATGATCTGATGACGGTTCTCTTAGACTTGTCTCTCTATCTCGCCATTCCGAACCCACACTTAGGACATACTCACCCATGGTGTCACATCAACTAAAATGGCGCTCCTTTGGGAAATCTTTCTTGACCTCTGGATTCTCCTCTCCAGCTCCTCACGTATCCAGCCCATGCAGTCCTATAACCACTCGCTTGTAATTCACCAGATTATAAGGCATTTCTAGGCAGACACGTGGGGAGCCATTGAAGAAGTATGATACTGCAGACAATGCCTGACCAAGAATAGTTTATCAGTATCAGTTAATTGAGTGAAAAAAATTACTGGATAAACACACTGATCAACTCAGGAGCTTTAGAAACCAAGAAGCTGGGAGGTAGTGTGAGAAAGAAACTCTCTGAGGCCACTTTTGGAGAAAGACCACCATGATGGGCATTCAGGTCTGTTTCTTCCTCTTGTATCTTAACGACAATCCCTAACAAGCCCCCCAATTTTAGTATCAGTACCATTAATATGTAGCTACATTTAGAGATCTATAATGTTGCAGGAGTAACACTCTGTGCCTTTTTCCTTTGCATTTGGAGTGTGTGATGGAGTAGAACAAGGCAGGGCCCTCTGCCCTGGGCCTAGGGTGCAATGCGCAGCCTCTGGAGCTGCGACTGTGTGGCTGCTGTCCCTATAAAGGAACTAGGCCACCACTGATCCCTCTCCTCTCGGTTTCTGAGATACTTGGAGTTTTCTGGACTTCCTCCAGTTTTATTTATTTATTTATTTACTATTTTTAAGTAATAAATACTACGGAGAAATCCATCAAGCCTTCACCCTCAGCGTGACTCATCTCCCAGGGGCAGGTGCAGGGCTCAGCTTCCAGGAATAGCCTAGCATGAGGGCTCCACGCTCAGAATCCCTCCCAACTTTCAGGGCTCTGAAGTTTGGCACCCACAGAGGTCTGTGGTTAGGTAATGGGGTGCAGATGGTTGCCGTTTGCAGACACATGGCCAGCAACCATCTCCCTTCCACCCTCCCTTTCTGCCATAACCAGGGTGAGCAGGCCAGGTTGCTCACAGAAGACAGCTCACCGTAAGGAGGTGCAGTTTGGAGGTAGTTGGAAAAGCCACTCCCTCTCTCAGCTGGGGGTTGGGATGGGGGAACACAGCAGGCAACGCAGGCAGGGAAAAGCCCACAACACTGCCTCCCGTAAGCGTGGCCGCTCGCGGGTCAGTTGGAGCGAGCAGGGCAGGGGGGTGCGGGTGGGAAGCCGGAGAGACAGCACCGCCTGTGTCCTGCCGGTCCAGCCTGAGCGCCCCAAGGCCTCAGAGATGCTCCCAGGGGCTGAGACCCTTGACGCCAATAAGCACGAGCGTGCCAACAGGGCCATACGCACCCCAGGATCCGCATGGAAATTGACCTAAGTCAGACCCTGTGTGGGCGCGCGAAGGTAGACGCGTGTGGGGTGGTCTGGTCCCCGGGGACCTTGCCCTCCTCCAAGGTCGCCCACCTCTCCCGCCACCGCCCCGTGTGCCACCAGTGGGGCGCGCAGATCTGGCCGGCACCTGGTGATTCCCGGAAGGTTTGGGGTACACATTCTCCCACCACTGCCATTTCCCCTTCGCCTCCCGAATCCCTGGGGGATTCGAAATCGCACCCACAGGCTCCAAGCCATGTCTCTCAGGGCGGCTCCCGGTGGGTTAAAAAAAAAAAAATCAAAATCAAGCTCTAGAGTGCCCTCGCCGGGCCATGAGCTGTGGGCTGTCTCCGGAGCTGTGGCAGTGGGGCTGGGGGAACCCAGGTCTCTGGCCCACAGCAGGCGTGAGCCTCTGCCCATTGCCTCCTTCGCCGCTCCGGGGCCAGGCGACCCCGTACCCCCACCTCAGGGCCGAGTGAGATTGCCCGCCCGGCTGCGCGTGCCCCCAAAAGGGAGGGAGCCGCTGCAGAGGGGTCACCCCCTGGGGCATCCCTCCCATCTCTCCTGTTGGAGATCTGGAGACAGGCCTCCGGATGGCATGGGAGGTTGCCAGGAGAGCGGCTGGGCGCGGCAGCCTCTTCGCAGCCCATAAACTCCGACCTGCCTGCAATGCCTCCTCCTGCGCCCTGTTGGCATCCTGCGGGCTGTGGTGAGAGAGGCTGAGACCCCGCACTGTGGATGAAGGACACAGCACCACCTTCTCTGGGACTCTCGGACTGAAGCGGGGCGGGTAAGACCAGAGGCCTTCCCCAGAGCCCTCCTGTCCAGGAGTCCGTGCACAGGGCCCTCAGATCTCCTGGAGCCAGGCGGCCTTCCGCGGAGCCCAGCCTTGGGGTTGTCCTGCCAGGCCCTGTGGCCTCCAGGAGGCCCCTGTTCTCACTTTCTGCTGGGCTCCACCCCCTGACCCCTGAATTTCACCCCATCTCCCTCTGTGACTCTTCACCTGTTGGAATCCACTCCTTTTCTCCCGGGCAGAGGCGGTGCCCCCACCCCCCACCACCAAATGGCCAGACACCCCCTCCCCAGGACAGAGCCTGAGACCCCAGGGCAGACCCTAAGGGAGAAGATGGAAGGCAGGTGGAGGAGGTTGGAGTACACCCTCCATGCCCCAGCCCCATCTCCCCCCTCCCCATCTCTCCTTCCCCCTCCCTCCTCCTCTCCCCTGCT